TGGACCAGGACAAGTTTTTCCTAAGGATTCACATTTATCTCTTAATAACGTGCTTATTGTTCCCAATATCAAGAAAATCTGATATATGTTTCTTAACTTACGTGCAATTATCCATGTTATGTTATATTTAATGATGATATTTAATGAATAAAGAGGGGGGTGAATTGGTTCTCATACTTAACTTCTTTCTACACTTCGAGTGATTTCAATACACACACAATGCTCAAATACTCAACCATAAGTACACTTGAATTTTACAAGGATCAAAAACCTTGGTTCTTAGCCATATCTAATGTAATATCCACTAGTTATATACAAGTTATGATAACCGTGTCATCTTTTCTTTTTCCGGCAATATTCTTGTTCTTTTTCTTTTTCTTTTTCTTTTTCTTTTTATTTTATTTATTTATTATTTCTTTTCTTGTTACCTTAGGTTTTGTAGGACCTGAGGTAGGGTTTGGTGTCTAAAATAAGTTTCCAACATTTCATGCATTTACTTTAATTTATTTTATTGTTAGTGCATAGTTTAATTGTGTAACAAAGCATGTTCCTTATATTATGTTTTATGGGGGTATATGTTCATTTTTTCTTTGGGAGACATTTTCATTTTGGGGGTATTTGTACGATTATCTTTTGGAGATATTTTTGATTAGGAACCTTTTTACAATTATTTTTGGAAGATATTTTGTGGAGGGACCTTTTTATAATTTTTGTAAAGTTGTGACAAGTGTCACTTTTTCATTGGACCATGTGTTGAATTTTGTTGGTGACATGTGGAGGGCTTGGATGATGCCAAGTGTAGGGTGGATTTTATGTTTTGTGTGGAGGCTTATGGTGGTGACAAGTGGAGGGTTGTGATGGATGTGTGTGTGTGAGAGGTAATGCTAGTCTTGGTTAAAGTGATGTGTATATCATATTGTGAGTGGGATTTGTTGTGATTTACTTCTTCATCTTCTTCTTCCTCTCATCTTCTTTTCTAAACCATCATTGTTACTCACCTTAGAGCTTGGTTTTGCCCACCTTCCACTCATCTTTTGGCTTCACCATTGAAAGACAAAAGCTTCCTTGCACCTTGGACTACAAGACCTTTCTTTTAGATTCCATCCTCGCTCATTTTCCTCAAGATTCTAGAGAGTCTTTCTTTAGTGAGGTAAGGGATGTAGTATGTTTATAACCTTAGCATTTCTTTGTGCTTTTGAGCTTACCATATGTTATATGCATGTTGTGTGAGTTGTAGGATTGTATATATATGAGGGTTATATATCTTGATTTAGGATTTCATATTACTCAAAGCATGTATGTAATTATTATCTTGTAAAGCTTGTTATTTTATTTGGAAGAGGATTATATTACTTGTAATTTCATTGAAATGTAATTGTGGTATCTTTATATTCTTCTTGCCAATTAAATTTTGTATGGTTGTTTAGTTAAATTTTTAAGGCTTACAATACTGGTATAATTTGATTCTTTATGATTGATATCATAATACTAATGTAAGCTTATTCACATTATGAACTTATTAATATCATGTTATATTTAGTCTTGAAGACTTAGGAAATGGAATGTGTGATTTCCAATCTTATATATGCATGGAAGGTGATCTATGTACATTGTATACATATGTTATGTTGTGCACATTATTGTTGATTTGGAAAATACTCGGGGCATTTGTTACGTTGACATGGCTAGAGTTCAGTTCTAGTGCGAGAGGTATGAGTTCTCCCCAATATACACTTGGGTAGTTCCCTGCGGGTTAATAGCCCGAAAACAACTAATTTTGTCTTGGTTGTGATGTTCATAACCGGATGTTCGTGTCCAAGATATTCCTATTATATGATTTCGTATTTCAATTCTAAGTTGACAATTTTATATAATTATAGCTTGTTATTTGACATTGGATGTTCCAATTTGGTTAATTACATTTACTTGTTATGGATTTCATTTAAAATGCTTCAAAGTTATTTTTAGGATGATTCCTTAGTTTCACCTTGAGACTAGACACTAGGAGGCATGATCTACATGTTTAAATCTATGTTACCCTTGCAATACCATTGAAACCTTAGGTTATCCGCATAATGCATTTTCTTATAGAGTAATTCAATTTACTCACACCCGTTGATTATACATTTTTCAGGTAAGGAGGTGTTTTTCATGGATGGCCATTACCCTTAGTTTGTTGTGGATTTAGTGTTTTGGACACACCTGTTTTGTATGCATACAAAGTGTTTAGCATGCCCTTTTGATGTATTTTTGGTAACCATGATGTATGGTGTATATTTTGGATCAAGATATGTAATGAGGCCTTTTGATGTATTTTTGGTAACCATGATGTATGGTGTATATTTTGGATCAAGATATGTAATGAGGCCTTAGAGCCATTTGTATTTCATTTTCACATGTATTCATCACTTGTGTATGTGTTCTCACACTTACACACCTTTAAAGTTCATGTTGGACCAATGTATGTTGGGATTTTGAGACTTAAGAGGACCCTTGCATTTTTTTTGGCTTTCTGCAGAATCTTGAGCCATTTCGGTCGACCAGTAGCCCATTTCAGTCAACCAGTATCTTTTAGACTAATTAAAATTCTGAGGTAGTAGCCAAAGTTACTGTTGGGACAACTACCGACAGGCTGATTTCTCATTTCGACAGACTGGTAGTCAATGTCCCATTTCAGTCGACTGGTACAGGTCTTTAGTCAACCAATTTGTCTGTTGGTTTGCAGACCTGGTTTGGACTCCAGTCTCAGCATGTCATTACTCTTTTTACGCTTCTATTTTACGCTTTTGACCTTGTATGAGCCATCTTATGGTGATTATGACCTAGTTTATGTTTCTTCGGGTGCCATTGGTGCTGGGAGGTACCATTTGACCTTTATAACTTAGCTTCCGCATTTGTGATCCGTTATCGGGTCGGGTTTTACATCATTACAGTCGATGCACCGGATTCTACGAATTTGGGGCATCACACAAGTAGTTACACACTCAGCTGTCTCACTCTCAGCACACACCCTTGTATAAGATGAAACACTAGTTTTCACAGCCTCTACACACACACTAACTCTACTTGGTGCTCAACAACACTCCCTCATGTCCTAAGCACCCCTGCTTGGACCCTTTGAGCTCTCATAGCTCACCAAATACATAAAATATGTAAATAGCAACTCTACTTTAGCTTATATAAATGAAAGGAGTGAAAAACACAGCTCAAACTAACAACAACCAACACATAGTCTTCATTCTGCAGAAATCGTAGTCTAAGGGAAAAATTGGAAATTCGAATAAATATAGACCAAGAGATGAATGCCACAGCCTTATATATTCAATATAGAAATACTCAGATGATAATCAATATGTATGTAGAGTCACAGTACACAGCAAGCCTTATATAGTAGAAATCTTCAAGAACTAGGGTTTTACAAGGTTAAAATCTCAAATGACCATATTTTTGTGCATATATCAACTTCAACAGCTTTGATTCAACTATAAAAACTTGCTCAGATGAAATATTGCAACTCACAACAAGATATAATGATTATAAGCTCAAATCATCAAGCTAAGCCAATAAAACAAATATATACATAGGTCTGAGACATTAAATATAACTACATCAGTAAAATGGTCACAACCAAACATTCTACAAATGTAAAAAAGTGAACCAAACTTGCCTTAGACCTTATAAATCTCTAGAAATGGCTGGAACAAAATATGGCTACTCAAACCAGGCCTTCTTGCATCAAAAAATAGCTGCAACCAGATACCTTCATCATCATCAAGCACTCATACACTCAATACACATTTTTTAGATGAATTCAGCTTACAAATAGGTCTTAGAACTCAGGAAATGGTCATTGTTTGTGGTGTCTTCGAGTGTGCTCATAAAGATGCTCTCTCAAAGCTAAGGAGGCTCAACCCTATAATAGGATATATATAGTGAACTTTTAGCTCAAATTCTTACACTAATGAGGAAATACACATGGCACCATTTACCAATGATTGGCCAAGGAATATTCTAGCATTCCCTTAGCAAAAGGACTACAATGCCCTTTGTATAGCACACATCTTTGTCTTCTACTGCACAACGTTTGACAACTTGTATATCAGCAATATATATCAAGCTTAGTTACTAAGAAATGCATAACAAGCCTCATGTTCTAACATTAGGACCACAAGACACGTGTCACATATTTGATCTTCATTTGTAATGAACAAAATACCCTGGTAAGGGACACTTATCAATATCTATAGAATCCTATAGCTACTGTTGTGAACACTTGATCAAAGTGCATTTCCAAGTAGTATAATACAATGTGGTATCCCAAACAAATGTATAATGATAGAGTACATGTGTAAAAAGACTTAATTTCCCCTAAGTGACTCTATAGCCAAATATCACCTTCTGAACCAGACCTATAAACCCTAATTTGCCTGTAATGAGCACTGTCAACACAACGTACACTAAAAGGAAAAAGGCTTTTAATGATATGCGATACAAGTTATTAGAGGGTTTTCACGACATGCATATGCATGCTCTTACTGAACAAGCAGTGAAAAGTCTATATTATTCATGGTGTGCTTTACAAGTCGTTAATTCTAAAATGTAATGTTGTTAAACAACCAAATGGATGTTGCTTTCAAACATTTACAACTCTTCTCGTGCGTCGTTAATACGCACTTCTTTAACAGCGTGATTTGAAAGTCGTCTATACATGCATTAATGACACGCGAAGCATATTGTGTTTATGTTTACCCTTTTAACAATTCTACTATTATGTCCTATCATGACGTCCATTACAACATTCTATATATGTCGTTAATATTTTTATTTTAAAAACATGCATCACATGTTGTCAAAAGGGGTTTTTTTTATTAAAAAAAAAAAATGTATAGAATCCCTTTTCTTTCTAATGGAACTAACAATCTGTCTTGCACCTATGTTCAATATGACAAATGATACCTGTCTTCAATTTAAAAAAATAAGGCGCACATCACATCGCATAACCACATACAATATAACATGTATTAATTAGAATAACAAAAATCTAATTAAACCAAAAACATTAAGTCTAGTACCGTGTCAAAAAAAAATTTTAAGCCAATATGAATATTAAAAAAGTTCCCAGCCATCCAATATGTTGATGTCAACAAGGAATAAAAATTAAACCACTAAATTCAAAAAGAAACAATCATCTTTTGCAAAATAAGAACATAACCATCGATTTTTAATATATATTAGCTCCCCCTTGTCCGTACAATATCTTGACGGTAACAATCGATCCTTCAATCACATTCTGTAATTAAAATATATATATATCAAGTTTAGTAATTTAATTGTGCAACATAATGAAAATATTAAAAAGCCTTAAAGAAGTAAAGGGAAGGAAAAGGTAAAGGAGAGGAGGCTAGAAAAGTTCCTTTTGGTCAATAAACTCACATTTGATAAGAGATGAAAGGCAAAAAAAAAATTCTTCCATACCAACTATTTAAATAGACAGTACATGGTAATTAAGAAATTTGTAAGCCAACAATAAGACCAGCCATGTAGAATGAAACAGAATGCTAAACCAACAATAAACTTGTTCATAATTTCACCATAACTGAAATGAGGTTTGTAAGAAAAAACTAAGGGTGAGGCTAGGAAGATAGATTAAGTATGAATGATCTTATTGAGACCATATTATCCATGTGTAGAATGTTAAAAGTAATCAAGTCTAGTTTTAAAAGGAGACAAATGTATATATTTACAAGTACTAAAATTTTGATACCAAAAGTGAAAGACTACTTCATTACCTTTTCAATTCGAATGTTTTTCTCACGTAGTAATGCAGTGCATCCTGATGTGGCAATATTCACTCTTGGACTATCATTCTCCAGTCTAGATAGTTCCCTCTACAAATGTTTTACCAATGCTTTATTAGACATAAAAAATTTAACTTGAGCATTAGTAGTGACTTCTTTGGCGCAACTTGCAAACAAAAGATATTCTTGATTACTCAACATGAATTCTTGATGTTTCCAAATAAAATAACATACATGAGTAACAAATAAAAATTTCAACTATATGAGTAGAAACATTTAGCTACACATAGTCAACCAATCTGCAAGCTTTCCATTATGGTAATATTACATAATGGAGTTAAAACACTAGGGTTGAAACACTATACACATATTAGTTCAGAAGACAAATTCTAGCAATAGTAGTTGAAGCATCTTGTATTGGAAGTCCTTGATTTCTTGAAAGGGAATGGAGTAATGCCAATAATTTCATTTTTTGTATTCATATGCACACAATATAATTATCTGGGCTTCTAACTCCAAGCAGTTTTGATATATATAGTTCATTGAAATTAAGGATATCAAATGGGTTCTTAGGCCTTATTAAAATAAATGCCCAGAGACTAAAAGATGAGGCCTATGGAGTATGCGGAGAACTAGAATCCCTCTCAAATATGCACAGTAACTCATTTATTTGACGTGCCACTAGAGAAATGGAAACTAAACAGTCGTTTTTATGTCTTTTACCAGCTTGTTTAGATGTCTTCATACACATGAAAAACAAGAAGACCAAAACTTGAAGTTAATAAGTTCATAAAATAAAATTTAAAAATAACTAAAAAATGAAAAAAAAAAAAAAAAAAAACATTCGATTGAATATAGTACTTACTTACCATGGAAAGTCATAGTGATGCTCGATATATTAACCCCTGTAGCCTCCTTTGATTCCTATACAAAAGAACTTGAGCTCTTAACCAAATAATTTTTGGATTTCCTGTACAAAACAAAAAATAATAATATTAATAATAAATAGCAGAGAGGAATGTGCATACAAAAGTAGAAAAAAAGAATTATTTCTCACATAATTTACAAGTATTTGACATGAGTATAAACAAAATAAATAAATAAATCAGGTGTATGACTTGTCCTAGGTCATGCTCAAGCCATTTGCTAGAAATGGGATTCTTCATGCTCAAGGTTTGTCATCTTTTTCCAAGTAAAGAATAGGCTAACAAAGTAAAAGAAAAATGAAAAAAAAAAAAAACAGACAAATGAATGATTGGGACCATGTCCCATCCAATAATAAAAAATGGCTAAACTAGCCTTCTAAATATTCTGCATGCCTTGTTACTAAATGTTATATTCCTATTCTCTTATGTTTTTACCTTCTTAACAATGACCTCCAAATAACATTGTCTCATAACATGAGTAGTTGAAGTAATCTTATACGAGATAGAGATAATTTTTTATTTTTTATTCTTAAATGGAGGAAATTTTTTATATAAAATGAAACAATAATGTACAAGGAAGATCCGAGGGCATACCCTCACCAAACATAGAAAGCGATGAGAGAAACCAAAACATGAGGTTGCCCTCGCCACAACGCAGCACATTATAAAAACCTAAAGAAAACTAAATGGAGCCCTGAAGCAACAGAACCACAGCCCACATAGGGCACATACATAGTGTACAGAAAAGATTGTATACTCTACAAAAGAAAAGAACAAAAATTCAACAACAAATGGGGCAATGATTAGCTCACATCTAGAAGACTTCTGCCCAAAATAACCACGCTTCCCAAAGAGGTTGAACCAACTTAAAAACCCACAGCCACAAAAGAGAAGCAACAACAGATAGGCAAGAACCCATTCTCCAAAAGTAAACCATATGCCCAGTTCAAGCATGAAATCCGAGCAAAATAACAACCACACAAAGCCAGAGAAAGGCAAGAGTGCAGCGAGTCAACAACAGATTGGCAAAGAACAGATGCCAAGAACGACCATACTATCCAAACAAAGAAATGAACATCGATGCAACAATAGATAGGTACAGACCCATTCTCTTTAAAGCATACCAAATTTTAATCTCAACCAAAAAGCGAGATCACAACTGCAGTAGTAATGAGTCTAGACTTCAAAAAAAACCTTTTGACTACGCAATTAGCAAAACATCCTGCAGGCTAATACCCATAATATCCATAATTTCCCAAAGCACTCCTCTAGCCACTTCCATTGACAAATTGAATTTATCATTGAAAACTTTATCATTCCGTTCTCTTCAAATAGCATATAGCATTGCAGTGAACATCATCTTATTTTTGCTATTTTTCACTGAACACTGTTGGGTGAGGGTTCAAGCAATTTCATGAACTGAATTATGCTTCTGAACACTGTTAGGTGAGGGTTCAAGCAATTTCATGATATAAAGATAATTTGTTTAAAGGGGCCTTCTATGTGTTGGTTTATAACTTAGTTAAACTTCAATTTTCTAATTCGAGTTAGGACGTTCAAGATACTTAATGCATTTAATTGAACCCAATAGTTCAGATTAAAAAGTCTTTAACCCAAATCCATTGCAAACAAAATCAGTAAAAATAATTGTCAAGAAAAAAATATCACATTGAGTTTGGTGCCCAAGTTACAACTTTGATATAACAAGCAAACCCCCATACCCTAAAGTGAAAATCAATCAAAACGTATTCTCTTCTCCTCACTCACACACACACACACACACACACACATATATAAGGTGATCATATCCATTTCTCGTGTGTGTGTATATATAGACACAAACCCTTTTATTGTAAATTGTTTCTTGTATTCTTTTTCTCGCTCTGTTCTTAACCTGCACAGAGTACTCTTCACCCATGAACTGTTGGAGTTGCTCTGCACAATCAACCAGATTTGATACCAGTTGTTGTGGCGGAAACGCAAAATAAACAACGCTGTTTAAGGAATAAACAAGCAATCACGAAGAATAAAAAAAATCACACATAAAAACACAAGATATACATGGTTCACCCAAATCTTAGGGCTACGTCCATGAAGCACACCGAATAAATTCACTATGAAAAAGATGAAGAATTACAATGGAGAATTCTCTCTCAACCTCTCTCAATTGCTCTCTCTTGTATTGGCATAAATTTATCTCTAACTCTCACACTCTTTTAAATCTTATTAGAGTTGATATTTATAGAGTCTCAAACTTTTCCTACAAGAACTTGTCTTTTGTAGAATCAAAAATCAATAAGGAAGTTAAATCAGATCAGGAAACTGAATTTTCCTTAAACCAATAAGGAAGTTAAAACAGATTAGGAAACTGAATTTTTTCCTAAAATTCAGCAGTGTTGGAGTTTTCATATAATTAAAAATTCCTAAAAGTTAATCAGACTCCACAAAACCACAACATGAACAACAAACATGAAATGGCCACCGACAAGGAAATCATCAACAAAATAGGAAAATTCTCAGAGCCCTAACAACAACAACAACAAGACTATCATATCAATCATCTGCAAAAATAACTTATAATTTCTATTCATGTAATCTTTTTAAAATCATCAAAGTAAAAAGATAAGGAAAAATAACATGTGAAAAAATCATATTAAATCAACAAATTAGGAACAACTTGGGGAAAGAAGTAGAGGAAATCTTACCATGTTCTGTTTGAGAGATCGCTTGCTAATTTGATGGGAACTGAAAATCTGATAGAGCGTATTGAGTAAAGAAGATATATTTACCTAATGGAAGCCGAGAAAGAGGCAATGACCGTGATCTTTTGTCCACTTTCCTATTCTTCATATGGCAGTTTTGAGCTTCATTTATTTCTCCTGTGATGGTGTAGATGAGGGCTTTGCCGAAAATGGCTGAATTATTATTATTATTATTATTATTATTATTATTATTTATATATATATTTTTTTCAGAATATGAAGCAAGTATATTTAGGGTTTACAATGGGAGAGCAAACAATCGTGTGTATTGTTGGCTTATAGTGCGGGAATATTGTTTCCTTAAAGTTATATAGGAGGGAAAATGGGTCTTTAAAGGAATTTTGGGACCTCTTTGAAGAAACTTTTGGCCCAATATTAATGATATAGCATACAAGTCACTATAATAGAAAATGCAAGCCTTAAAAGGAAAATTCAAAGGGTAATTAAGTGCAAGCCGTTAATATAACCATGTTTTAGGTTTTAATGACTTGTCTGAAACATAAGTCGTAAATTAGCACATAAGAAGGCTTGTTGTTTATGCATGTCGTCAATTACAATCGTAAAACATCAATTTTCTTGTAGTGATGTAGCTTCCTTGAGCTATCTCAAGCGATATCTCATGAATGTAAAATGACAATGCTACCCTTGTAAGCCTCTGTAATGAACTGAGTATACCAGAGTTACTTGAAACTCACATACACAGACCTGTGACAACTTTTTGACATATAAAAGGGAAAACCCTAATTTAAATATGGGACCAACAATCTGCCCCTTTTGCTTTTGAATGTTAAAAACTAAATAATGATTGAATATCAAAGAGGCACTTAAAAATAGCAACAATGTACCATTAAGACAGTAATGAAAGCATACTAAAGGATATACAAATTCTTGATTTAGGTCCATTTTTCCCCCTTTTTGACATTGAAAGTCAAAAAGTGAAAGGACCAACAATGTAAAGTACTGGAAAGGGTTAGAGACAACCCTACAAAGAGCTCTGAGGGTTGAAAACTTATGTGGTAGCAACGACTTTGTCATGATATCTGCAAGTTGATATTCTGTAGAGAGATAGGTGATGTCAATGAGCATTTAATTTATTATTTTAATTGCATTTTAATTATTTTATTTGACTAATTGATCTTATTAAATGATTAAGTGGGTATTTGATTTTAATTGATTAATTAGATTAGTTTAAATTATTTAATGTGTTTTACTTGTCATTACTTGTTTATATGCAATTTACTTGTTTAATTAATTGGTTTATTTTATTTCAATTTAATCACGGTTTGGGCTTGGAGTTACTTGACCCAAAGGAATGGGTTTGGGCTAGTTGGAGAATACCTAGTTAAGTTATATAGAATTATGGCCGATGGGAAGATGTATATATTAATATATATATGGGTAAATGGCAATAAACCCCCCTGAACTTTACTCTCTCTCCCAAATAACCCCCCTGATCTTCTAGTTTTAAAGAAAACCCCCTAAACTATTAGGAATATTGCAAAAAAACTTCGGGAACACTGTTCCGTTTGGTTTTTGCGGTGATATATGCACGTGAAATAGATATATTTTCAAAATCTCATTTATACCCTTCTAATCGTTGTTGATATATCTGTTTGTTTTTGTCCCACGTGTGAGTTTTAACCCAATAAAAACCCAATCAGTTGTTAGCCCTAATAGTAGTCGATTGTTTTGTGCAAGCCTTCAACATAGACCAAACGCATCAATTTCATTCACAAACCCTTGCTTTTGTTCACAATCTGCCAACAATTAGAGGCATATTGTTGCAATTTACAGTGAAAACTCGAAGATGTGTTGAAGTTTTGTTGACAACAATAAAGTAAGTGTTGAGGACGAACCATTCCTTTTCTTCCCTACCAAAATCCCCAAATACTACTCGATCGTTTTGTGCAAGTCTTCAACACACAGACCAAACGTATCAATTTCATTCACAAACCCTTGTTTTTGTTCACAATCCGCCAACAATCAGAGGCATATTGCTGTGATTTACAGTGAGAAAATAAAGGGGTAAAAAATCGAAGATGTGTTGAAGTTTTGTTAACAATAGTAAGGTAAGTGCTGAGGACGAACTCTGGTGCTTTATTTGAGTTTCGATCTTTATTACAGCTTTTGTTTTTCTCATCTTCAATAAAATGAGTACAATGGCCGAATCATCAATGTCTGCAAATCGTTGGGGTCCTCTTTATAATATGAAATGTAAATGTAGAAAAAAGGCTTCTGTATTCATCTCAGATTCCGATGATAATCCTGGGAGAATCTATTAGAAATGTTCAGCTGGAGTTTGCACATTCTGGGAATGGTGGAAGCCTCCTCCATCGTCACCACCACCACAAATGCAAACACCACCCCCAATAGCAGTACCAGCAACAACGGCAACGGCAACACCTACTATAAATGTGTTAATTTCATTTGAAAAAATGTCTTCATTAGCAGCTTATTTTTTTTTGGGTTATCTGTCTTGGTGTTGGTTGTTGCATTGACACTTAGGTGAGGTTGTGTCTATAGCCAAAATGCTAAAAGACTTGTGTTGGTGAATTGATGCTTAGGTGGGTTTTCAGTTGTATCAATTTTCTGGGTTAAAGTTTAGAGGAATTTTTGCTTGTTTTAGTAGGGGAGGGCTAACCATGTTTATCTCTTTTGGTGCTTTGATATTTAGGAGTTTGATTTTTGGGTTAATGGTGTATATGTAGCAGTGTGTATTGAGGTTAATTAATGTACAATATGAAAAAAAAAAAAAATGAATGATTTTGTTGTTATCAATTACTGCAATTTTTTTTTTTTTTTAATTCAATTCTATTAAGCAAGTATATTACTGCAATGTTTGGTTAAATGGACACTCACATTATTAACGTATACACAAGCTTCATCAACAAAGACTGTACAAAACAGAAACTGATCACAAATATATAAAGGTTGCGTATATAAAGGTTGCTTACATAAAGTCATTGGCAAGTTTCATGACCATACATACATTACAGTACAAAAGATTAATATGTTTACATACATATTAACATTATAGCCACCCACAAAAGAAGACTTACATCAGAGCAAGTACACAAAAAGATTATAGACAGAAGACCTGCATCAGAGAAAATACACAAAAGATCATAGCCAGAATGACTGCATCATAGCAACCCACAGCAACCCATATATACTGCATCGGAACAACAACAAAATAGTGAGAGCCAACCAACAACTCCCATCATCACCAGATAGCATATTCACTACCCTCTTCATTAATCAATGACCTGCAAATTTTGACACATCAATGTTATTTTTCTTATATAGCCAATGCCTCTGTAAAAAGTAAATGGAAATTGAAATAGTCTTCTTACCTTGATGATGATGCCTGTGTTTCAACCAAATGGGATAATGGAATGTTATAAACCTGCAAAAACAAATAATAGTTTAAGTTAAAATTTTTAATTTTTTAACAAATGAACTTCAAACATACTGAGATTCAATATTTACCCCTTGAGACTGTTTTGCCTTAATTGAGGGGGGGGGGGGGGGTGCCCATAGCTGCACTGAATGCCTACCATTACCACCCTGTGATACACCACCACCCTTTAACTGCATAACTGAACCACCAGTCCTTCCCATAGTTGAACCACCACCCCTTGACTACATAATTGAGCCACCACCCCTTGACTGCATAACTGAACCACCAGTCCTTCCCATAGCTGAACCACCACCCCTTGACTGCCTAACAGAGCCACCACCCCTTAACTGCATAGCTGAACCACTACCCCTTCCCATTGCTGAACCACCACCCCTTAACTGCATAACCAAACCACCACCCCTTCCTATAGCTAAACTACTACCTCTTGATTGCACTGATGCCTATGAATTAATAAACTGAGATTCATTTTGATACACCCATTGTGTTCTTCTACCCCTTACACTCCTCCCAGGTGCTCTTTCACCCCTTCCTCGAGTAGTTAATGGTGGTCTTCCTCCTCTTTTGGGTGGAAGTTTCTCAACCAAAATTGGTTCAGATGCTTTGCAAGTTCTTGTGTGGTGTCCATAATCATTGCATCTTGAACATTGCAATTGTGGTCTTGACTTAATTAGTGTGGTTGAAGTACTTGGGTCATCACTTTTTTTGTTCCTTGCCTTTTTTGGTCTACCAATTGGTTTCCTATAGGTAAGTGGAAGTAATGGGTCTATGGGTTCTGAACTTAATAGTCTCCTTATTGGAATGGGATATATCAAGTTTTCATAGGTCTTCAAATATGTGTCTCTATGATAGTATGAATCAACATATATCTCTGGTAGTTCCCTCCTTGCAAATATGCATGCAATAGCATGATTATAAGGGATACCACAAACATCCCATATCCTACAAGTGCATGTGTTCTTCCCAATGTTTACTGCCTCACTAATTCCTCTACATTCCACCTCATATTTGTCATCACCAGCATAATGCACTTTACAGATTCTTGCACTTCTTTTCCTCTTGTTTATTTTTTCCTGAATGTCTGGACATAACAACCCACACTTTGAATTTATGAAGTCTCTTTTTTTTTTAAACCTCAACATCAGATGCTTCCTAATCCATTCTAACATATATAGAATAGACTTATCCCTTGCAGGAAGAATCACTTCATTCCAAGACTCACACATATTGTTTATGACCAAAGCTGTTTTTGAATGACAACCAAAACTGGACCTTGTCCATACATTTGGTGGCACTCTCCTCAGCCACTCATATGCTCTAGCATTCATCTCTTTAATCTTGTTCATATGTAACTCAAAATCAGCTTCTGTGTATGATTGAGCTGCTTCCCAAACCTCATTTTTCAGATTTTGTCCTCTATATTTTAGTTTGAAGTTTTCATAGAGGTGTCTTACACAAAATCTATGTTCAGCCCCATATAGAATGGTATCAAAATTATTAACTAATCCCTGAAATTCAATTAAGAATATAAATTAATTGAACTGCAAATAGAGAACAATTTAATGTCTGATTGTTACAGACCAATTGTGTTAGTTAGGGAGAGTTTGTACTGACATATTGAGTCCCCTTAGGACTCTGGCAGACCCACGCAAATAGACCAAACTGTATGTGCCCAATTACTTTTTTTTTTTTTTTTTCCCTTTTCATAAGTGAGTTGATTTCCATTTCACATAATAGAACATTCAGTTCCATGGAATGAGGTGGACTTTGGCTGTATGTTTTTCTATTTGTGTCTCTGTGCTAATTTAATTTCTTGTTCTGTACTTGATTCATTGCTTTGACTAGTATTTCTCTTTAGTCTCTTGAAAATTCAACTAGCATAAGAAGCAAGTTTTTTTTTTATTTTTTAAATATATATTTTATTTTTTATTCTAGGTTTTATTATTTCTAATTTTCCCTTTTCAGATACACAATATTAAAAACTGTACCTAAAACATGGCCTTGGAAAGATATTCCTGTGTTGATGGGAGGTAGTCATCCAATTACTGTTCAACTGTTACTGTTGTCATGTTTGTTGGGTTGGGGTTTGGATGTTGCTGTCTTCATCTTGTCTTCTGAGGAGCCTAAAATTGAGGTGAAAGTAGCCGAGAATGATTCTAGGCAATTTGAGGATGGTTCAGGTGATTTACTAGAGGATGCAATAAAAGATGGTAACCCTGAAAGTGAGCCTTATAAGAGGAATCCAAGAGAGAGGTTGAAAATGATAGAGATGTAAAAAAAGAAAATGATGAATCTAATCTAAGTAATGGGGAATCAAATTAATTGCAAAATAAATTAAGTGAACAACATAAAATTATAAATTTACTCACTTTTTGTCTTATAAAACAAATAAATTGCGCAATAAATTAAGTGAACAACATAAAAAATAATTACTTAAAGAACTGTTATTGAATTAAAGAACTGAAATGAAATAAAAGTAAATATTTACTCACTTTCTGTCTATCTGACATGAAGGTGATGTCAAAGTGAGGTCCAACAGCCTCCATTAACTCTGTCATGAACCAGCTCCAAGAGTCTTTTGTTTCAGTCTCTACAACTGCAATAGCAACAGGAAACATTTGGTCATTCCCATCATAAGCCACAACAGACAGTAGGTGACCACCATATGCTCCCTTTAAAAAGCACCCATCAACACCAAGGAATGGTCTACAACCATATCTAAATCCCTTCTTCACTGCAGCATAACAAATAAAAATTCTTTGGAAGGTCTTGATTTCATTATCATAAGACGTAGGATCAACACCTATTGTTGCACGACTTCCAGGATTGGTTGTTTGGATCAATGCACAGTAATCCCTCAACTTTGAATACTGTTCAGCTTCATCACCCTCAAAAATGCTTAATGCCCTTTTCTTTGCCCTACGCGCTTTGTATGTGGACACATCAATGTCTAACTCCTTTGCAATAGTACTTTGAAGTGCCACATGACCTATAGTTGAGTTTAATCTCACTTGCTCCAAGTACTTGTTTGCAAGATAGGAAGATGAGGCTTACTTGCTAGAATGAGTCCACAAGCAATTGTTATGCTCTTTGCTTAATTTCTTGATTCTTAAACACTGCTCATTACTTGGTTTACTTGCATATATCCTCCAGCCACAACCTTCCGAGCACACTGCAGACACTTTATCACCATCATTTTTTTTGAATTTTATATCAAACTTTTTCCTTATTACATAATCCCTAAGTGCAAGCCTGAAATCTTTAGCTGATGCAAACCTTATGCCAAGTTCAATGTTTAACACCCAAATCCTTTGAAGGCAGGAATTCTTGGTTGTCAGGGATAGGATGGACACCAATAGTATCACTGTCATCATCATCATCAGAACCAGGTAGGCTTCTCAACTCATCAAAAGGAGCATACACAGACTACACTTCAGTAAAATCAAAATGTGTTTCATCAATCTCATCAGCAGGCTCCACTTCAGCAAATTTCATGTATGCTTCATCAATCTCATCATCATCAATTGGAGAATAAACATCTTCAAGATTTTTAAGGTTTTCTAGACCCTCTTCCAACTGTGGTGCAACAATATAGATATGGATTTCCTTAACTTCTATGTATGGCTCAAAAGTAGAAAACATGTTCATTACATATAGGTCAGACTTCAATTCTTTGAATCCTTCACCATTGGGCATTTTGTAATAAGCTTCATTAATAATCCCATAACCAACCTGCTTTGCCATATCTTGCACTTCAATATAAGACATTTTGTCTGGATCCACATTGTCATAATATGCTACTTTTCCTCCTAAGTAAGCCATATGGGGTATTATCTCAAACACACCCCCATAGTGCAACCCAATACTGTATAATATATCCATCTACAATAAAAACCATGCACATACATAAATAATAGGAACAATGCACTGTTTTCATACTTTAATATAAAGTAAGAGAGAGAAAAATAAACAACACTATATAGACAAAAAATGGAGACTTTTTCACAACATAATAAATCAAAAATGGACCACTCAACCACCAGTTTCAAAGGAATTAAAAGACCAGACAACACAACATAATAAATAAAAAATGGACCACTCAACCACCAGTTTCAAAGGAATTAAAAGACCAGATAACACTACATACTTTGTTGCTCGAATCTTTGAATATAGGAAGGGACCACAAACATCAAAATAAGAAGAAATACAATAAAGCAATCAGAACGGTACATATATTTTACTACCATCCAAAATCAAAAACAAAACTACAAAAAACAACTTTACTAACCACATTTATTTCAACACATTAAATCAAATAGACTAAAATCATTTACAGAAACTATTTACAGAATCAAATATGAAACCATTTACAGACTAAAACAAAATATGAAATCATTTACAGAAAGATTACTTTAATTACAGACCAAAATCATACCCAATATTACAATTATTAAGTGATTAGGGTTTACCCTCGTGCGAGACATCTCGAAGATTGATCATCTAGCAGCAATGTTGCAATAGAAGGAGTTGTGTTTTTTGAGATTCTGTTTCAGAGTCAAATGTGTAGAAAGGGATAGCTGAAGCTTAGGAAGTGTTTGGTGCTAAAATGGGTCTTATACACAGATTTTGCCGCTAAAATGATAAAGGGGTAGGTGAGGCTTGTTGATAATGTTGTGTTGTCAATATCCGATTGGTTGTTGAGATTACAGTTTGACAAGTCAGAGATAAGGTGTGTGTTGTCGATAAATCATTGGTTATTGAGATTACACTTGCCAAGTCAGCAACATTAGCAACAATCACATTGAAACGGCGTCGTTTTAATTAATGGCAATTTGGTAATCTTACTTTTTTCGATCAGCTCCGGTGAACATATATTACAATTTGTCCTTAATTTTCACATTTTAATAGTTTAGGAGGCATTAGTTAGTTTAGGGGGGTTTTCTATTTTTTGTTGAAAGTTCAGGGGGGTTTATTGCCCTTTACCCTATATATATATATGTGTGTGTGTGTGTGTGTATGTGTATTATTTATATATATGTATGTATATATCATGTGGATATGGATTTGGAAAATTAATACGTTTGGGAAATAATACTTAGGTTAGGATTTGTTGGTTACTATATATATATATATATATGTAGTAGTCAGAAGAAGAGGGTTTTAGATATACGTGAGTTACAAAAGAGACAGAGATCTAGAGAGAGAGAAAGAGAGAGAGAAGGTGACCGGAGATAGCTTGGAGGTTGCCGGAATTAGAGAAGAAGACATGAGAATTTATATAGTTGATTTTCAATCCGAAAATGATAAGGCAAGTTTTTTATCTATCTCTTCCCCTTTGAATCTATGGTTTCTCCATCACATGCTAGACTTTAGGGATTAAATTAAATATTTAAATGGATCAATTAATTATTATGCATGAATTGAATTGAAGGATTTCATGTTTATATGTATTTATTTTTCAACTTGATGGATTCTTTGATTTGATGCATTAAACTTCTTTTAAATAGTCTGATCTTATGTATATTCGTAATCTAAATCATTGGTGATCATATGGGACTTAGAAATCATGTTTTAGAACTCGAATCATGGATTTACAAATCTAGAACAGATCCACGAATACTATCTTGCGACTTTGTGCTCAAGCACAACGTTGTTCTGATGCACAGTTCTCAAGCATTGGTGGCTATGCTCGAGCACTGGGCTGTACTCGAGCACAGGTAGTTATACTCGAGCTCTAGGAACCTGTTTTCTTTAAAAGTGTTTCGAATGACCCCGTTTTAAGTATAAATAATCCTGAATATATTTATAGGTATTGGGAACAGTGACATAGGTCTAAAAATATAGATTGGTATTAAACCCTCGTGTTTTGATGTTGGATGGAAATGATTGAATTAATTAATAATATAATTTAATCTTTCGTGATATTGGGTAATTTATACAAACCTCCCCTATAGTTTGCCATAATTACAGGTGGCACCCTTCCTATTTCAGAAATTACGCAGACCTCCCCTACTTTTGAAAATATCCTACACGGACCTCCCTTATGTGTGACGGACCGTTAAATACACTAATGGACCTATCAAAATTACTGAAATACCCTCAACTTTCAATGATAAATGACTTAAATACCCGTGTGTGTGTGTGTGTGTGTGTGTGTGTAAATGAAATTGATGTTGACCGGAACCAGACAGAAAAATGGAGAAGTGATGATCCAACCGACTGAAGCCCTAGATTGCAATAAATCATTTTTCACTGAATCCCCTTCTTTACTGTCAAGCGCGGGAATCAGCTTCAATATTTTTCTTACTCACTGGTGCTGGAAGTGTTGGGAAACGTGCAAGTTTTAAAAAACTTTTCGAGGGATTTTGATTCATAGATCTTGATTCATCACATAGAGACAAGTTTTATGCAAAAATATTAATATGATGTATCATTCAATTAATGGATTGAATACTTACATCAAAGGTCTGAGTAAACCTTTAAAACTTTCCTCTAAAGTGAATGTTCTCACTTATTGTAGATCCCTTAGCAAGATGCCTTCTCCTTGGATCTCCATCTTCTTGGTAATTATTTTGCCTTTAGGAATCACTCATAAGCCTCCATGAATTACCTTGGAAAACTAGGCTTGTGGGAGCCTCCATTAGATGAGAACATAAACCCTAATTTTCTAGAGAGAGAAAATTTATTCCTTTTTCCTTCTCATAAAAATCAACCATAAAAATCACCCCCTAAAATATACATAGACCATGTATATTTATAGGCAACATAAAAATAAAGAAAAGGAAACAACAAATCCTTCTCCATCTCTAATTCATATGTCTCAAATCTAATATGATTCCAATATCAAGTTGGGCTATGAGTGAGAATCCATTGGGCCTATTATTTATTGGTTACAATGAATTAATAATTGGCCCGGTCCATGGACCCAATTCAATTAATTCATAAATTAATTTCTACTCCACTAAAAGAAATTAATTGAACTCCAATTAAATAATAAATAACCTCTAAGTCAATATTGCACTTTGACCCCTTTATGCATAATTAGTTATCGGATAAATATAGCCATCAATCCGACTACTTAATTAATATATTTATTTTGGTACCTTTGATTATTTCTGGTTCGATCACAATAAACATTTGTTTGACAAAAATAATAATTTAAATAAATAAATATATAATAAATCATTTTGTCTAAAAACACACGAAGGCCTTCGAATTTACTTTGTGATCAACCATAATCAATACAAAATAAATACAAGTAGCAATGATGCAAATATTGAAAATATAACCCTCTAACTATTAATTACATAACTACCCAAAGTGTCGGTCTAAGGATCCCGAAGAATCCGCCGAACAAATCAAAGTAATTATTAATTAATAAAAGAGTCTATACTTTTCTCATGCTTAAGAGTCAAATGCCATGACGGTGATAGGGAGTAATTGCATACGACGGCTCTCGCAATATATCTCAACCTAACGCGGATCCAGTTCAAGTCTTAATTAATTATGAGTCCATCCATAATTACCGACTATGAACAATTTATAATTACTATTTATATATCATGCATTGATTGTCATCACATACATATATATAAATATTTCTTGTAATTAACTGGACACTATCAATTTCATAGTGAATTGAAACATAATACATTGAATTCACCAATTATATAAATCATAAATATTTCAGATATGTCAGGAACATATGTCAATACAATCCAGATAGGAATTTGCTATGCCAGGGCATATAAATCCCAACAGCTCCCACTTGCCCTCATAGCCAATTCAAATTGCACCTAACTCCAATGTTATCCAGATGATGATCAAAATTATTGATCAATGACACCTTTGATAATGGATCAACAAAGTTGTGTTCCAATGCAATGTTTTAACTATAAGTGCATTTTCTTGCCGGACAATATCATGTCGAACATGATACTTCCTCTCAGTGTATCTTGTTCCTCTATGGAACCTTGGGTCATTGGTTTGGACTACTTCTGCACTATTGTCACAATATAGCTCGATAGGCAGGCTAGTATGCTCCACAACCTCTAAATCAGTGAGATCAAACCAATAGGCTTATATTGCCACCTTTAAGGCTGCAATATGTTCCACCTGCAGGTTTGAGTCAACAGTTGAAATCTGCTTGACAATCTACCAACTGATTTCCCTTCCATTAAGTGAACATACACTAAGTCATGAATCTCATAGTATCTACTTCTGATTGAAAATCAGAACTAGCATACCTGACTAGGACCATATCATCACATCCATAAATGAGTATGATATCATTGATTCTCCTTAGGTACTTAATGATATTTTTCACAATAGACCAGTTGTCAAGTCCAGTATTGGACTGATCTCTACTGAC